CCTCCCCCTCCCCCAGCCCCCTCCCCCTCCAGAGCCAGAACCGGCCTCCCAGCCGCAGACCCAGGGGCAAGGGAGAAGGCAGGGAGAAGCAAAGCCCTTTCTAACGTTGTCATTCTGCCCTTCCTTGTCTCAAAAGGCAACAGATTCCGGAAAGGAGCCAGAAGAAGAAGAAGAAAACCAAATGGCGGGGAGACCGGGCCACTGGCACCCACAAACCGCAGTGCGTGATACTGTGACGGCCCGAGGCCCTGGGCACAGTGACCGGGAACTGGCCAGCCCTTGGGACCCCTCCACTGCCTAACCGCATCGAAGACCATTCTAACCATGACCCTTGGCCCAAGGACTTGACACAGGAAGGGAGAGAGGGAGGGTGGGCAGGGAGGAGATAGAGTCTGGCTTTGCTGGAAGGGCACGGGCTGCCCTGTGTCTCAGCAGCAACGAAGAGGCAACAGTAAGCAAAGCAGCATCCAAGTCCCTGTGTTGATGCAACCCGGTCCCGCCCCGCTCTTGGTGGCTGTGTTGTTTCTTTGAACTACATAGTGTGGGTTTGATGTGGAAGTGTTTCTCCACGTACAAAAACAAGCCATGATCACGCTTCCCCCACCCCAACCCCGGTCCACAGTGTCTGAGCTTGGGTGTCTTTTGTAGATTTTTAAATTATTTTAGGGATTATTATTTTATTAAAGGGGTCTGTGCCCACTGCCTGGTGAAGTTTCAAGTCTTCAGCAGACCTCTTCTATAACATGTCTGGAATATGGTTGTTTTTTAACTGAATTTTCCCAGCCGTGCCAAAACTCAACTCAACGTGCAAGCAGAGTGACCGAGAGACCAGAAGTTCACGGGGACCGTGGCTGGAGGCCCCAGGAGAAACAGACCCTACTCATGGCCTACTGTAAACTGGAGAGAAGAGAGATGTGTGTACCCAGAAGGTTTTACTGTGGTTGAGGATGCAGATATTAGGGAACAAAATTTTGTTTTGCTGAGGGGAGAGACGGGCACGTCAGTTTTAAAAGGGCTTCTCATTACCCTGGAAATATATAAATTTTAAGTAAGTTTACTGGAGTCGCAAAAGTGTTCGTGTATTTTTCAGGTGGTGTGGGTTAAGTTCTGTGTTCTTCGCAGCCGTGGGATAGGGCTTTCTCCCATCACCTGTGCTGTCTGGTGCATCTGTTACAAACACACTGAACAGGCGTGTACGGTCTCTGCGTCGAAGTCAGCTAATATGGACACCATCTGGAAAACTCTGGTTCGTGCTAAATCTTAACCAAAAATGATCCAGTACTGTTCTTACTAAAACAGCACCAAGACCTGAAGCCATTTTCCCTTTGAGTCAACTGACTCACTTCTTAAGCCCAATAAATGAGCAAAACCCCTTGAAACATTTGCAAACTTAGTATTACAGGTTGCCTTTCTGGCAGGAACTTTTATTAACCTCTTGGATCTTAACTACTCTATATAAGTGGAGGAGAAAGTAAGGTTGGGGTGCCGACATGGCTCCCATACACCTGTTTCTACAAGGGGCCAGCCCCCTAGCTTCCTGACCATGCCCACCTGCCTCTCAGGTGCTGCTGGTGTGAGCCAGACTGGGGCGGGATGGATGGACGGCGCACCCTCGAGAGAGTCAAAAGATGAGGCGGCCGGCTAGTGACCTTAGTTTCCATCTGTTACAAATCAGGCCACCAGGCAAACTAGAATATCCCTAGCGAGTGGCCTGGTCACCATTTGGAGAGAGAAACCCGGGTAAAGTGAGCACTCAGCCGGACATCGAGACCCCTGGATTCTTCCCTAGTTTTGAAAATGCGCTGAGTTCCCAACTCAGCAAGATCGCCAGCAACGTGGTGGAAGGGGAGCGCAGCCAAAGAATGATTCTGATGCCGGAAAAAACAGTTGGGACTTCTGTTTGTTGGAAAATCAAACTTCTTTGTCTAAATGGCCCTTTTTTTCTGACCCTAAAAGGAAGGATAACAAAGAATATTCCAGATCAGGCACTTCAGAGCTTCCCAAGATCCTGTAATGTTAATGGGCCTTCTAAACACTAACAGGACAAGGCTCTTTCCAACCAATACGCTCCTCTGAGCCACACCCTAGCAGCCCGGGTGCAGTTGGGTGGCCGCTGCAAACTGGAGATGAGGAAGAGGCAAGACAGCGGGAAGAAGGAAGGATGGAGATGCGGTGATGGAGCGAGTTGGAAGAGCAGGACAGGAAGCCCGGCACACGGGGCAGCGCCCACTTCAGAGAGGTCCCGGGCACGGACCACCACCAGCACCCCTGCCCACTGTGGAGCCTGCAGCTCCCTGACGGCACCGGATGGGGGAGTCTTGTTGGAAACAGATCAGTTGACTGAGAACGAAGCCCTTAGCTGTGAATGTAACCAGACGAAGAGATTCCAGCTGCTTCTAGGCCCTCCACCCAACAGGGCAGCACATCTGCCCCACCCCCGGCCCCATCTTCCATCTCTCCTGCACTCAGCCCACAATGCCGGAGGGAGAAACTGGGTGAGGGGTGGCCTGCTGCAGCCTCCCTGTTGAGCTAATGGTCAGGCTTCGTCTCCCGTGACCTCATTTTCCCCATAGGTGGACGCTTGTGGCAGTGGCAGCTTCTGCATAGGCCTGAGTGGAGCATACCCAAGGGCATCGCCGGTACACGGTCACCTGGCGGGCCCAGTCTGGAAAACCAGTTGGCCATGTTACTTCCTGACTGTGGAGCCCAATGGGACTTGTGTCTTTGGTGGCATTCTGGTGTTCCCACTGGTTTTCCACCTGAATTAGTGCTCCCTTCATGCCCGCTGGAGCACACCCTTCCTGAAATCCTCTCACCCCATGCCTTTGCCACTGTGTGCTCTCAGATTTCCTTCTAACATTCTTCTGCCCCTCCCCCCACTTAGAGGGCTCTTTTCTCCCCAGCAAGTAATGCTAGCCATCCTCTCCACCCCCAGCCTGGGGCGATGGCCACTGACTTTCCCTCACAGGGGACACTTGGATGGCTTCTGTTAGGACTTTGCCCCCCATCTTCTTGTGGAGAATGCCTGTCAGCCTGGTGCGGCCTGCCTCATGTTCCTAGGAAGAGTGACCCACTAACACGTGGCAGCTCTAACCCAAAGGCCCCTCGGACGTGTTACAGAAAATCCGGAGCCAGAGACAGTTTCCCTCCATTCGCAGCCCATTGGATTAGAAAGTCCATGTCGGGTTTACCTAGAATGAAAGATACTTGAATTACTGAGCGCCCGTGAGCGCCCAGCTTCTGTTACACAGTGTTAGCCATTGTCTACACAGGTGGCCATTGTCGTGAAATGAGAGTGATGCCTGAAGATCTCAATGATGCTTGAGCCTTTTATGTAACTTTTATTAAGTCTTTGTGTATCCCAACTCATTAATAAAGAAAAGAAGAGGAACACTTGTCTGTCTGATTTCCTCTTACTCAAATATTCCTGACGTTTCGCTGAGAACATTAAACGTTGTCAGCGTCTGGCCCAGAACACTGCCCTCTTGCGGAGAAGACAGCTGGTGACTACGAGGGTTGTCCCCGTCCTGCCGGTCTCCTGATGTCCAGCAGCCCTGGATATGGGCTCTGCCTCTGACTTTTATGTGCCTTTGAGCAAGTTACCTGCTTTAATCTTCAGCTGCCCCACCTGTGAATGGGACAATGGTGTGCGCTTCCTAAGCAGACGAGGGCTAAAGCTAAGTGTGGGCGTTCGTGGTACAGATCCCAGAAACGATGCTCTTTTTGTAAAGGACACCGATTGGATTGTCTGATGTTGCTTTTCATGAAAACTGCCCCCTGCCCCCATCTGCAAGATCACAGTCTTTCATATAATGTGATTACATTTCTCTTTTGATAGAAACTGATGGGTAGTTGGCCAAGCTGCGCCTCTTTGGGTCTTTTTCCCAGGGAATAGAGGACCAGAACCCTCTCTTGGTACTTCTTTGGGTGGTGACAGCTGAAGCATGTAAACTTGGAGGCTAGGGGTGCTTCTCACACCCTCCGCGCTGGGGGCAGAAAAGGCCGGACTGCAGACTAGAGTAGGGAGGGGTGGTGTGGCTGCCTGCCCATTCATCCCTCCCATGCAGATTTCCTGGGCACCACCACGTGCCAGGCATTGGGCTGGGTGCTGGGTGGTGGTGAGTAGAGCAAAGGGTCTTCTGATCTCCTTTAGTCCCGTCCTGACCTACTCAATCAAAACCTGCATTTTAACAAGATGCCCAGGTAATTCACATGTGCAGTAAAATCTGAGTATCACTGCCCTACGACATCAACCCCAGCATTGGAATGAAATCTAGCCTGGACCTGAGGCAGGAGATGGATGGGCCCCAGGCTGAGCCGCTGGAGTTGGTCCCCTGTGGACAGACACTCCACGATGAAGACAATAGCAGGAGGGAAGAAGAGCTGAGCTCTGCCCAGATAAGAGACAAAGAGGCCACGTGTCCCTCATTCTGAGGTCCGGGAGAACTTCCTGGCTACACATGCGCAGAAAGGCTCCTCGGGGACCAAAAGGGGAGGGGGCATCATCCCGTAGTAGGTGATGTCAACCTACCCACAGGCCTCTTCACTAGAATCCATCTTGGCTAAGAGATGCGCACGCACACAGGGGAGGACGCTGAGTTACACCAGGTATACCAGATACGGACTCAGAGCCAGGCAAAGCAAGATGATTGGCCAGAGGAAACCCGGAAGAAATGCCCCATACAAGTGATTCAAACTACCACGAGCGCACGACTTTCCCTCTGAGCCCGCCCATGTGAGTCTATTCACACGTACTCTTTTTTTTTTGTTTTTTTGCGGTACGCGGGCCTCTCACCGTCGTGGCCTCTCCCGTTGCGGAGCACAGGCTCCAGACGCGCAGGCTCAGCGGCCATGGCTCACGGGCCCAGCCGCTCCGCGGCATATGGGATCCTCCCGGACCGGGGCACGAACCCGTGTCCTCTGCATCGGCAGGCGGACTCTCAACCACTGCGCCAGCAGGGAAGCCTCTCTCACGTACTCTTTTTACTCCTAGTAAACACTTCATTTGTTTCACTACTTTCCATCTCTTTGAGGAAATTCATATTTCTGTCTCTGGTGGTCTAGTGGCCAGGATTCAGTGCTCTCACTGACTTCAGTCTCTGGCCGGGGAACTGAAATCCCACTTCAAGCCACTGCAGGCCGAGGCCGCCCGAGATCAGACTCACTGTGCCTCAAGACCCAGTTCAACCACGTTCACCCAGGGTCAGCCTCATCTGCTTTCAACTCAGCCATTAGAGTTTGCTCCTCTGCCTGGAACAGCCGCAAGGTTCTGCCTCGCCAGGCAGCGAACTCAGAAGTATCCCCACAGCCAGCAAGTGGTTTCCTTAATTAAGGGAAGTGTTTACACAAAGGCAAATTGGATCCCAGTTTGCTTCTCAAACTCTCTAGCATTTTTCTGAAAATGTGGACAGCCGCATTCAATGCACAGAGCTCCGAATCCGAGCTGAGAACACATAAAGGCTCTGTGTTCTTGGAGCTCTCTCTAAAGGTGGGTGTTCTGTGCCAGCTAGAGATACTCTCATCCCCCAAGACTTTCACTTTGCAGAGCTCCACCACCGTGCCAAATAGCGCATTATCATGCTAATGTGAAAATTTAAACCTAAGAAAAGAAAACTGAGTTCCTACCAGCCAATAACTGATGGATGCTTTCAGTAGAACGTACATCCTGGCAATGATGTGGGAAACCACAAACTCTGACTCAAACCAGCTTCCTACTCAGTCACGGGGTGATAAAATAATCGGGCAGGTGGTTCTCAAAGTTGGGTCCCCAGGCCGGCAGCTTCAGCATCACCTGGGAACTTGTTAGAAATGCAAATGACCCGGGCCCATCTCAGACCTACTGAGTCAGAAATTCTGAAGTGAGGCCCAGCCCTGTGTGCTTTAACAAGCTCACCAGTGATTCTGGTGCTCCCTAAAGTTTGAGAACCACTGAATTAATACCTGTAGGTAAAAATGAAAATTCCTACCACGTGGAGGTAAACGGCAGCTTGTTTTGTTCTCATCTGCAAGACAGCAGCCGGCTCTCTGGGCAAAGTTGCCCAGATCCTTCCCCTTTCCTTCCCCTTTCCTGTGTCTGATTAACAAGGGTCCCTTAAGGTCTGGAGCCCAGGGACACTAGTACAGAGGTTATTAACCTTGGCTCCGAGAGGTGACAAGTGGGGTAGCTGACCCTCTCTCGACCCCTCCTCAAAATCATATGCAAAATTGTATGTACGCGTGCGTTCTTCTGGGGAGACAATCGTTTTTATCAGATTCCCACCGTACCACCATGTTACCCAGTGAGAAAATGAAGCAGCCCCTTGAACCTCTTTTTCTGTCTGTGGGCCCTTCTGTTAGTTTCAAGGCCACTGAGAGTGGGGAGAGGAAATGAAATGAGCAA